GTTCTGTACTCATTTTCTGTCTGATTGATATGGACATTAGACACTTTCTCAAATACTTTCCTATAATTTTAAGGGGAAACTCCATACTGTTTTCCAAACAGCTTCACCATTTTGCATTTTCACCACAGTATACAAGGGCTCCAGTTTCTTTCTAAATGTTCACTGATACTTAATTATTTTTTGTTTTTTTGATAATGGCTTTCCCAACAAGTGAGAGATGATCTCTCTTTGTGGTTTTGATTTGTGTTTCACCGATAATTACTAATGTTAAGCATCTCAGATGACATTTATATGGTCTACTCTAACCCTTTGCCTGTTTTATATTAAGTTGTTTGGTGTTTTTTGCTAGTAAGTAGTAGGGTTTCCATATATTTTTGGATGTTAATCCTTTACAGATATGTAGTTTTCAAATATTTTCTCCTGTTCTGTAGGTTGCTTATTCACTCTTTTGGTTGTTTCCTTTGCTCTGGAGGAACCTTTAGTTTGATATAGTCCCACCTATTTTTGCTTTTGTTGCCCATATTTTATTTTATTTTATTTTTTGGAGACAGAGTCTCAAGCTTCACCCTGGGTAGAGTGCTGGGGTGTCATAGCTCACAGCAACCTCCAACTCTTGGCCTCAAGCAATCCTCTTGCCTCAGTTTTTCTTTTTTTTTTTTTTTTTTTGTAGAGACAGGGGTCTCGCTTTTGCTCAGGCTGGTCTCAAACTCTTGAGCTCAAGCAATCCACCCACCTCAGCTTCCCAGGGTGCTTAGGATTATCGGCGTGAGCCACCATACCTGACTAGTTGCCCGTATATTTAATGTCACATTCAAGAAATTGTTGCCAAGATCAATGTCATGAAATTTTCCCCTTATGTTTTTTTCCTAGGAGTTTTACAGTTTCAAGTCTTACGTTTAAGTCTTTAAACCATTTTAGATTGATTTTTATGTCTAGTATAAAATACAGGTCCAGTTTCATTCTTTTTCATGTGGAGTTTCAGATTTTCCAGTGCCGTTTGTTGAAGATGCTATCCTTTATTATGTATTCTTGGTGCTCTTATTAAAGATTAATTAACAGTATAAGCATGGGTTATTTCTGGGTTCTTTATTCTAATCCATTGGTCTATTTGTCTATCTTTACGTTTATATCATACTGTTTTAATTATTGTAGCTTTGTGGCATGTTTTAAATTTGGGACACATGATGCCTCTAGCTTTGTTATTTTTCCCTCAGATTGGCTATTCAGAGTCCTTTGTGGGGCCATAGGAATTTTAAAATTATATAAAAACTGCCAGTAGAATTTTAATAAGGTTTGCATTGAATGCACAAATCACTTAGGGTAGTATGGACATTTAAAAAATATTAAGTGTTCAAATCCATGAACACAAGTGTCTTTACATTTATTTTTGTCTTTTAAAATTTTTTTCATCATCATCGCCTCAGTACCCTTAGCTTAGTGGTTAGGGTGCCAGCTATGTACACTGGGGCTGGCAGGTTCAAACCTGGCCCAGCCCTGCTAAACAACAACGACAACTGCAAAAAAAAAAAAAGCCAGCACTGTGGCAGGCACCAGTAATCCCAACTACTTGGGAGGCTAAGGCAAGAGAATCGCTTAAGCCCAAGAGTTTGTGGTTGCTGTGAGCTGTGACCACACAGCACTCTACCAAGGACAACTCTATCTCAAAAAAAAGAAAATGTTGTTTTCATCATCTCTTCTCAGCCCTTTGGCTAAGATCAAGTGTAGTAAAATTTCATGCATCAATGTTTTATGGTTTTTGATGTATAAGTTTTTTACCTCTTTGGTTAAATGTATTCTTAAGTATTTTATTCTCTTTGATGCTATTGTAATGGAATTTTTGTAATTTCCTTTTCAGATAGTTCATTATTAGAGTATAGCAGCTGATTTCTCTGTGTTTATTTTATATTATGAACCTTTATGGAATTTATTAATTATAACAACTTTTTTTTTTTTTTTGTAGTCTTTAGGGTTTTCTACATATAAAATCATCTCTGCTAACACAGCCAACTTCACTTTTTCCTTCCCAAGTTTGGATGCCTTTCAGGTTTTTTTTCCCTTGTCTTGTTTCCTTGGCTACCTAGTACTGTGTTGAATATCACTGGTGGGAATCAGCATCCTTCCCTTGTTCCTGATACTCGCTGGTACTGTGTTGGATATCACTGGTGAGAATCAGCATCCTTCCCCTGTTTGGTCTGTGATGTTCTTTGTTCTGTAGTGATTTTCTGTCTGGTGGTTCTATTCATTATTCAAAGTGGGGTCTTGAGATTTCCTATTCTTATTGTATTGCTGTTTATTCCTCCTCTCAGTTCTGTCAGTGTTTGCTTTATTATACATTTAGGTGCTCTGATGTTGGGTGCCTATTGTTACATCTTCCTGATGGAGTGAACTTTATCATTATATCATGTTCTTGTTTTGTCTTGTGATAGTTTTTGAGTTAAAATCAGTTTTGTCTGATATATATGTAATTCTCTTAGTTACTATTTGTCATCCTATCACTTTCAGCCTGTGTGTGTCCTTAAAATCTGAAGGATTTATGTCTCTTATAGTGTATAGTTAGGTCTTATTCTTTTATACTTTCAGCTGTTCTGTCTTTTGATCAGGGAGTTTAATTCAGTTACATTTAGTGTAATTATTGATAGGATAGGACTTATTATTGTCATTTTGTCAATTGTTTTCTGTCTTGTAGCTCTTTTTTCTCCCGTTTGCTGACTTCCTTTGTGTTTTATTGATATTCTTTTCATGGTGATATGCTTTGATTCCTTTCTTATTTTCTTTCATCTGTCTTCTAGATATTTCCTTTGTGGCTACCATTCTAACAAACCTAACAGTTTGTACTTGTAACAACTCAACTTCAATCACATACAGAAACCCTACACTTATATTCCACACCCACACTTTCTTGACTCAAATAGGTATTTTACTTTTTTGTACATAAATTTTGTTTTCTATAAAAATGGAGATAATAATCTACTTTGTTAACCCAGAATGTGGTTGTCTTATACTTTTTCAAGAGGGTCTATGAAGTCAGAACTGTTTCACAGTAATTCTAAGGTAGTGTCTTTTTAACTTGTTGATGTTTGTAACCATAGTGCAGAAGCAGGAGTGAAGAGAACCTGATGTTGGAGCAGATATGCTAGTGCTCATTGTATTGTTTGTTATCACATATCTAGTAAAGATAAATGCTGGCTTTATTTAAGGATTTTTTTGAGCGATAATTTTATTAGATCTAAAGTTTTGAGTACATGTCTCCTTAATATGTGTGATCAAGTGGGAATTATGCATAAGGTACTTCTACATGCTGAGATATAGTTGTTGTCTCAAAGAAAAGCTTGCGTGCAGTTGATAGTGAGCTCCCTGGGCTGCTTTTAAATTATTTTATTTCATTTTGTATTATTTTTTTGAGGTAGAGTCTCACCCTTTTGCCCTTGGTAGAGTGCAGTGACACCATCATAGCTCACAGCAACCTCAAACTCCTGGGCTCAGGTGATTCTTCTGCATCAGCTTCCCAAGTAACTGGGATTACATGTGTGTGTGATTGTGCCTGGCTAATTTTTCTGCTTTTAGTAGAAATCTCACTCTTGCTCAGGCTGGTCTAGACCTCCATAGCTCCAGTGATCCTCCACCTTGGCCTCCCACGGTGCTGGGTCACAAGTGAAACACCGTGCGCAGCCTGCTTTTCTAGTAACATCATTTTGACTAATCAATAAACTCTGCTTATTTGGATATTTGGCAGACATTTTTTGGAAATGAATGAATGAGCCTATCACTTCAAGGAAAACAGCTGACCATGTTTGTTGTCCAGTGATAAAATTCAAATTTCAAACTTTCTAGTGAAATTAGACTTTTGGAAACTTCTCTCTACCACCATGTATATTGACATCTTTAAAAAGTGTTCTGATAAGATTGTTGGTGGTATTAAAGGTGGTGTTTTGTTTTTTAATTTTTTGATGAGATGTATCAACATAGAAACATCTGTGTAAGTCAGGGTGCTGATATTTCCCAGCATGGAAAGTATATGATGTTATAAAATCACTCATGAGTATTAATGTAACAGTATACAAAGTTATAATATATGGTTTGAGATTCTACATTCTAACTGACCTTTAAGAAACTGCCTCTTGTGAAGTTTTGGTGTCATATCCACAGTTATCTCAAAAAGCTGTTAAAATACTGCTTCTCAAAAAAATAAATAAATAAATAAATAATACTGCTTCTCCCAGCTGTATGTCTGGGAGGCCAGATTTTCTTAATACATACTTCAACCTAAAACAGCACAGCATGTGATGGAATGTCAAAGCAGATGTCAGAATCCAGTGGTTTGCTACTGAGACAAATGTAAGAGTTGCAGAAATAGAAAACAATGTCCTCTTCTCACTGATTTTTTTCATTTTGAAAAGTAGGTACTTTTCATAAAAAAAAGTTTATCTTGACATGTAAAGATGTGCTCTTGTTAATTTTAATTAACTGAATCAATAATTTCTTCTCATTTAAATTTCTAATACCTTAATATCTATAATACAACCAGATATAAACTGAAGCTCTTTAGGACCCTCAGTAATTTTTAAGATAGCAAAGAAGTCCCAAGACTGAAAGGCTTGAGCCTCATTGTTTTAATCTTCTAGAGCTTTTGAAGAGCCAATGAATATATTCATCATGTATGTGCAGTAATTTTGTAAAATATTTTAAATGTAGATTTATAAATAGCTTTTGTATTATATTACCATGCAAATTCTTTAAGTTGGGACTTTGGAGAAGAGCCAAGGACAGAGAACATAAACTATGGCTGTTATGGAGCGTGTTAGTTCATAAAGGGAGTGGCGGGGAGAATTCACACATTCCTCTTGTGTTCCACAAACCAGTGAAAAAGCAATTTCACTATGGCAACTCATTTTATATAAGCACTCACAGCAAACAAAACCCTGCTATTCGTGAATGTAGTTCATTACTGTGGGACAAGGTTGCTTTTTGATTTTTGAAGTTGTCCCCTTTTTCCCTTGCAGGTATAGAACAAGATGCAGTGAATACTTTTACCAAATATATATCACCAGATGCTGCTAAACCAATACCAATTACAGAAGCAATGAGAAATGACATCATAGGTAAGCAGTGCTAGTAGTTGTGGCCAAAAAAAGTATTCCTGGTTATTGATTAAGATAATTTTTTATGAACATGAATGTAACAGTTCCCTTCCTAGTCTGTTTTCAGAATACTTTCAGAATAGTAGAACCTCTTTAGATTGACTACCCAAGGGACTATAACTAACTGTTTGACACACAGAGGTGGTCAACATAGGGAAGTAGGCCAGCAGGACTGGAACATGTGGTTCAGCCTGGTCTCTGAAAATTGGGTCAACTCAAGGAGACAGTTAATGTAGGGAGGTGGTCGACTATGGAGGTGCTGCTGTATGTAATTGTAGCTCACTTAAAAAGTTTCTCTTTTATATGTAGGACCCACATTCTTTGACTTTGACCTGAATAACAGCAAGAATAATAAGTAGTACACATTTATTGAACTTTCACTATGTCCCAGACAATATTCTAAGCATTTCCCATGGATAAACTCATTTAGTTTTCTGAAGAACTTTATAAGGTAAATACAGTTACTATTTTGTAATTAAGGAAACTGAAACACTTTTGTCCAAGGTAGCACAACTCTGGCAGAGTCCAGATTTGAAATTAGACTCCTGCATCTTTTCTCCTATGCTTTATATATAGAGCAGTGTTTTTCATACTGCATCGTGGGACCAGCCTTGTCTTACATCCTCACCTACCTGCACAGAGAGTTTACTGGAAGAGAAAAATCAAAGCATTTCAGAGTAATAAAGGCAAACAAACATCTCAGGGAATTGTTTCCATTATATACTCATTTACTTGTATATGTATACTCAGTCAACAATATATTTCTCTGTAGGTCCTAATAAAATGTAAATGTGAAAGCTTTTACTGTGTTTTGACAGGAAGACCTTAAGTGGACCTTTATTCACAGATAAAAGTGGTTCATTTATTCATTTAACAAATATTTAGTATATTCCCACAAGTTTTAAGATTTGTATTTTTACAAAACTAAGTACTAAGTTTTGTATTTTTATTCATCAAAAATGTATGAAATAAAGCATGTTATTTCACTCCTAGCAGATGCATGTCAGTGTGCTGACATTGTCATTCCCTACTTTAGAAACTTCTTATACATTCATTATTGCACACAGCAAGACCCCTTCTAGTCTCAGCTATGATCTTAAATTGGACCATGATACTTTCCAGTGAACACCTGTTAGCTATTTGGGAGTCCATCAGATGCTGCCCATGTTTTCCCGTATCCCACACAGGCCCCTATGACACATAAGTAGATGGGTTATTCCCATCTGCCTATTTGGGGGTAGAGGTGGAGATACCTTTTCACTAGCTTTATTACCAGATGTTTCTATAGGATTTTGGTTTTTTTCTGTGTAGTTGCTTTATTTTTATGTGGGAATTTCCTGCTATCATCTTGTAGACTTGCCTAGACCAACTTTTCATTGTAATGCAACTGGGGAGTTCTGATTAGGATTTGGTTATTTGAGGCATTGGTTGGCTACTGATTCCTTTGGGAATCTGTACCAGTTGATAACAAAACTGTCTAAGGTAAGGAAAAAAGGAGGAAAGAATTTTGAGTCAAATAAAACATTTAAAAATGAGATGTCACTGCACTTCTGTTTTTCTCTACTTAAACTCAATCAAATTAATGATGCAGTCCCACGAGGGCAGGTTTAACAAGGGATCTGAGAGAATTTCTATCCTAGTGTCTATTATTATGCATTTTGGAACGTTAATTACACATATGTCTTTAAGAAAGTTACTTTTCATCATTGCCACTGGTCAGGGTCGGGTACTGGTTGGTGTCTGGCCCTGGCTTATCTAGGTTCCAGTGGCAGGTGGTATGCTACTTTGCTCAGGAACAATTGCTCTTAAGTGCCTGAGGGCTATTTACCTTAGCAGGAAGGAGAAAGAGTCTTTGAGGGTGAAGTAGTCTTAGAATAGATCTTGGTCTTTAGCAGAACTTGGTGATCTTCAGCAGAGAGATGCTGTGCTGGCATTCTGCAGGCCGGAGAAGCGACAGAGTGAGAGTAAGCGGGTCCCTGGTAGAAGGTGCGCTCCCAACTGCCTGCTCCTCCAGCCTAATATAAGCTAATCCTGTGCCTCTCAAGGTCACAGGTGTAGAGACTGCCAATTCACCAACGCTCTCATCTCTCAAGCTCTCTCATGCTTGTTATGAGAGCTAAATCCCGCCCCATGCCCTTTTCACCAAGGTGTGCCATTATTGAGCTACTTATAACTCACTCCTCCCAGCCATAGGCAGTGCAGGCTGCTACAACTTTTCCTCTTTGAGCCTCATTGTTTTGAATCCTGCCCTAATTATTTGTCCCTTCTTACTGTTGGAATATTTTAATAGAGCTAAGCTTCAAGTGAGTTTTGTTCAAAGGAGACTTTATTTTCGCTGTTACCGTGTATCTCAACCTTCCTAGTTTGGCTGTAAATGTTACTCTTGGGGTTTTTGATACTGCTATTTGAGTACTCTGTTCTTATGTGAGGGTTTAGAATGATCCAGAAACTATGCATTTACTGCCACTTCTATCTTCCACAGATTCTTAAAGTGGTGAAATTTAAAAAATAATTTGAAGGTACAGGTGACAAAATTTGCTGATGGTTTGGAAATGAGTGGTGAGAGGAAAAAGAGGAATCAAGTATGACTCCATTTTTTAAAAAAACTGAATAACTTGAAGTAGTAGAGTTGGTATTTATAAGATGAGAAAGACTGGTAGTAATGGCTTACAGGAAAATCAGGGATTTAGTTTTAGATATCCAAATGGTTGAATGTCAAGTAGGCAATTGGACACCTAGCATTAGTATTTCATGACAGAGCTCCCAGGTTGGGGATGCATGTTTGGAAGGCATCAGCATATACACGGATTTAGAATGATGAGACTGGATAACATAACCGTAGGAGCAAATGCAATGAGGGAGACCAGACACATAGGGATGTCCTGGGATGTGCCTGCCTCACAGTCCAGCAGATGAGGAGGAACAGGCAAAGCAGATTTTTAGAAGTGACAGCCACTGAGAAGGCTTCTCAGGGCAACCATGTGTCAAGAGAGTTTTTTTTTTTTTGGAAGCTGGGAGAGAACAATGTTAGGAGGGACTGATCAAAGATACTAAGTGATGGTGATAAGTAAGATGAAGACAGGGAACTGAATGGATTTGGCAGCCCAGTGTGATCATCTTAATTACTTTATGTTATAAAATTTCTACCAATAGTATTTTGATAGTATTTTTATAGATAAATCTTTTCACAAATCCATAATTCTTTAGGTTATAATTCTAGAAGTAGAATTACTGATTGAAAGAGGTTGTTTTTAAAGCTATGTTAGAAATTCAGATTGCTCTCCAGAGCAGTTGTACCAGTTTATGTGTCCATTTTCCCAGTGCCTTGCCCAGGCTTGGTATTATTGAACAATTACACATATGTATTATTTAAACAACTGTGCCAGTTGACTAGACAAAAAGTACCTCCTTACTCTAATCTATTTTGATTACTAGTGAGCATATATATCTTTTTTTTTTTTTTTAACAAAGAGTCTCAAGCTATTGCCCTGGTAGAGTGCCGTATTGTCATAGCTCACAGCAAGCTCCAACTCTTGGGCTCTGGCAATCCTTTTGCCTCAGTTTTTCTATTTTTAGTAGAGGCAGGGGTCTCAATTTTTCCTCAGGCTGGTCTCCAACTCGTGAGCTCAAGCAGTTCACCCACCTCAGCCTCCCAGAGTGCTAGGATTATAGGCATGAGCCACCGCACCTGGCCCATATGTATCTTTTCATCTCGGACATTTTATGTTTCTTCTCTGTGGGTTATGTTTGAAAGGTCCTTTGCTTATTTTTCTTTTAGGACATTTTTTTTTTTTTTTTTTTTTTTTTTTTTTGAGACAGAGCCTCAAGCTGTCCCCCTGGGTAGAGTGCCATGGCATTACAGCTCATAGCAACTTCCAACTCCTGGGCTCAAGCGAGTCTCCTGCCTCCGCCTCCCAAGTAGCTGGGACCACAGGCGCCCGCCACAACGCCCGGCTATTTTTTGGTTGCAGCCATCATTGTTGTTTGGTGGGTCCGGGCTGGGGATTCGAACCCGCCACCTTAGGTGTACGTGGCTGGCGCCTTAGCCGGTTGAGCTATAGGCGCCGAGCCCTTTTAGGACATTTCTTAATAGTTTGTAAGAACTTCTGGTATTTTAAGGATGGTAATCTTTTAACTACCATATATGCTGCAATTTTTTTTTTCTGCTTGCCTTTTTATTTTGTTCTGGGGTGTTTTTAATGTTATAGAAATTAATTTTATGTTGTTAACTCTTGATTTCTGCCTTTGCCTATATGTTCTAAAGGACTTTATAACCTCAAGATCAGCTGTTACTTGTATTTTCTTTTAGTTCTATGGAAAACTTTCACTATTATCTCCTAATTTTCTTTTAGTTCTATGGAAAACTTTCACTATTATCTCCTAATTTGATTCACTAATGTGTATAGTTTGAATTCAGCAGAAATTTAATTACTATTTCTTTTACAGCAAAGATTTGTGGAGAAGATGGACAGGTAGATCCCAACTGTTTTGTTTTGGCACAGTCCATAGTCTTTAGTGCAATGGAACAAGAGTAAGTTAGTTTCATATTTTCAAATTTTGCATTCTTGGGAATTTGAGTTCAGTGTTAAGAATGGGCTTCACTCAACTAAAAGCAAAGTATCTTTGAGGATTTAAATATTTTGCATATTTATAAGATCATATAAGAGTACTCTATAACTGTCTTGGTTAGTAGTTTCTTTTAAGTATGAATTATGTGAACTCATTTAAAAATAAAAATATTTTCATTTGTAATGTTAATTTTCCTAAGTTAAAAAGAAATTTGTTTGTAGTTGCAAAATCCTTTGGGGGTGAATAAGACTATAGTGATTGTGAGGATTACAGTTGACTTAATTATTTAAATAATGCATGTCTTTAGGTGGATATCCTAATCTGTTAGTTCGTGCTTTCAGCTTAATGAATACTGTAACTAAATCCACATCTATTCCTTGAAACTGCTTCAGGAGTTTTTTAGATTAATTCCTGTTGCATACCCCTAAAAAAAAAGCTAAGTATTCACTCTTTCATTTAACCTTTATTAAAAAGGATACTCTGTCCAAGGCACAGGTATAGGACCTACCTTGAAGGAAGTTAGAGCCTAATAAAAGAAATAGGTCATGTTCTTTAGTTACTGTAATATGAGGTGGTATATATTAAATGTCAGAGAAGAGCTACAAAGTCACTAGGAGGTTACATACAGGTAAAGCAATCAGACACACCATGGGAAGTAAGGTAGTGTTGACCTAGGCCTTTAAGCCATAACAGAGACAGCATGGAAAGATTGTATTTTTCCCACGTAAACGCTTTCCATGGTTGCTCCCTTAAATTTTCCCTTTTTGTCCATGTGCAGGCACTTTAGTGAGTTTCTGCGAAGTCACCATTTCTGTAAATACCAGATTGAAGTGCTGACCAGTGGAACTGTTTACCTGGCTGACATTCTCTTCTGTGAGTCAGCCCTCTTTTATTTCTCTGAGGTAAAGTCTACATTTCCTTTCACACTCTTTAATTAGAGCATTCCAGCCTCTAAACTATAAATGCTGGGGCCTTGTCTAAGCAAATAACACAGAAGAGATGAATAATTTCTAAAAGGATTTATTATTGTTTTAAGTTATTTCTAATGGCAGGAGTATGTTAATGACAGATTAAAGAGAACATAAAAATTCAGTGCAAAAATAATTCATTTTGAAAAACATACTGCTTATAAGAGAATGCATGTTTTTAATTGTTTGGAGTTATTTTAAAACCATAGAATTTGATACTTGATTCCAGTGTACAAATGTTTTCAGACCAGACTTGAGAAGAAAGAAAATAGTAAATATTTTTTCTCTATTCTCATTATTTTAAATTTAGCTGCTTGACAGGATTGCCCAGTGAAGGATTTGCAGCAAACAATGAGTCTGTTTATCTCTTCAAGGTGTACAGTTAGTAGAATGCTGTCTGTTAGGCTTCAGCCAGTGAGAGTCTTTGGTTGTAAAGCAAATGACTGTGACTGCTAAGTAAAGAAGAGCAGTGACTCGTACCCTTGGATTCTGCCTCTTCACAAGAATACAGTTGATTTGTTTTTTTCACTTCCTTTCTTGGTAAATTAAATCAATAATTTGTGTAGGTTACTTTTCCTTATGGAATGGTGAGAATGATCAGTGTAAAAAATTTGGTGTGGTGAGCTTACTCTTTGTATGTTTCCTGGTGAGGAACTAGTAATCCAGTTTAGTATAACTTTTACTCTAGATTACTGAAGTTTGCATCCAACTGTGTGTTGGGTTTTTGTGGTCAATTGTGCATTTTTTTATTCTATAAAATACTTTAAACTTTTCATTCTTAAACGAGTGTAACAACCTGCTGACTGAAGAAGTGGATCGCTTTTTGCTTGTGTCCTATAGTTGAATACTTGGAGCTTTATAGATAAGAAATTGTGAGAAAAATCTGCTTAGAGTCTTATTTTCCCTTTTGTGTCTTTCCTTCCTAGTACATGGAAAAGGAGGATGCAGTGAATATCTTACAGTTCTGGTTGGCAGCAGATAACTTCCAGTCTCAGCTTGCTGCCAAAAAAGGCCAGTATGATGGGCAGGAGGCCCAGAGTGACGCCATGATTCTCTATGACAAGTGAGTTTTATTGACAGATGTTTCATCACTCAGATAGTTAGAGGATTCGGTACACACTGTGTAGGTTAAGATGAGTAAACTGTCTTTGCTGTCAAGGAGCTCACAGGGAGCATGGTGTCTGTAAACTTTGTGCGTTCTTGTCTGCTGGGGGAAGGGGAGGGGTGTGTATGTGTGTGTCAAGCAGGATGGCAATGTGGTGTTTAGTGAGGATTTCCCAGAGGAGAGATTTGACTTGGATCCTGAAGAATGAATTGAATTTTGCTAGCCAGAGAAGGCAAGAAAGAATATTGTAGGCAAAGGCATTAGTAACTTGGGGAATGAGGTAATTTCAAGAAACTTGAATTTGGATAATGGAAGGTGTGGGGAATGTAAGAGAAAATGAAACTAATTGGAATAGATTGTAAAGGGCCATAAATATCTGTGTATGGGTGTATCCTATTTTCTGGTGCAAATCTGCTTGGCCACATTACTAAATGAATTATGTTAACAGTTTTTCATTAGTTTTTACTAAAAACAAAATGTTAAAAAATCTTATAGGGAGCAGAATTGAAAACATCTGTTTAGGCAAGTGACACTACTGCAGCCAGCTCTATAAAGAGTAGTACTTTTTAATTTAACTTCCCATACCTTGTAAAGAATAGTGTTTTGGGCTGGGCGTGGTACTCACGCCTGTTGTCCCAGTGCTGTGGGAGGCTGAGGTGGGTGGATCCCCTGAGCTCAGCAGAGTTTGAGACCAGTGGAAGACAACAGGAGGCAGAGTGAGCCAGAGTGAGACACCCGCTCCACTCCCCTCACCCCCGTCTCTACAACAACAACAGAAAAAAAAAACCCAGCAGGGCCTTGTGATCCCAGCTACGTGGTGGGCAAGAGAATCACTACAGGAGGAAGAAGCAAAAAAAAAAAAAAAAAAATAGTATGTTGTTGTTTGTATCCACAAGCAAGTGGTAAGGGAGTAACTTGAGAATGGAGAAAAATCCATGGGATGTTAGGGTTGGAAGAGAGCTGAGCATCTAGGCCAGTGGCCCTGAACATTGTCTGCAGGTGCATGCCTGGCCATCCGCAACAGAATCACCTGGCAGCCTGTTAAAAATAGACTTCCAGTTTTCCCTTAAGAGATTCTGATTCAGCCGTTTGAAAGATGACCCAGGAGTTTTATTTTTAGAAGACATGCCAGGTAATTCTGATGAATAGCCAGATTAGCATTCTAGTCTGGCTTCCCCATTTTACAGATAAAGGCAGAGAGGTAAGGATTTTCTCAAAGTCACAGGACAAGTTAGTGGCAGAATTTGGACTGGAATGCAATCCTTTAATGTTCCATTTAGTGGTATCATATACTTGTGACTATATGGATGTTCAAATATCAACAGTGAACATTTAAAAATTTGGTCGAAAATTCAAATCATGGAGGAGTATTTACCAACTTACTCATTACAATATGGGAGACTCACTTTTTGTTATGAAAATGCTAATTTTAGTTCAGGTGAGGTGGCTTATGCCTGGAATCCTGGCACTCTGGGAGGTCAAAACAGGTGGATCGCTTGAGCTCAGGAATTCAGAGACTAGCCTGAGCAAGAGGGAGACCCCATCCCTACTAAAAATAGAAAAATCTAGCTGGATGTTGTGGCAGGCACCTGTAGTCCCAGCTACTTGGGAGGCTGAGGCAATAGGATCACCTGAGCCTAAGAGTTTGAAGTTGCTGTAAGTTATGATGATGCCAACAGCACTCTACCCAGGTCACCAGAGTAAGAAGGCCTAAAAAAAAAAAAAGTTTTCTTTAATGTGGAACAAAACAATAGCACTACGAGGGTCCTGGCTGGAGCTCAGTAACCAGCAGAGCAGAGACTGTGTTTTCCCTCTCGATCCTGTTTTCACATTGGGAGGCATTTTTAAATGAAGATTTCTATATGATATCCCACTGGCACTTTGGTTTTTGCCAACTTCTTTATGCCCAACTTGACTTTATAAATCCTTGTTTGTTTTTGTATCTTAATGACTGCATCATCACAATCATACACCATCAGCCTTTCTGTATTTCTGTCACAGACAGGAGATTGAGGCCCCTAGAGTGCGGAGAGGAAAGCACACGTGAATCCTCCCACTGTCATGTCCAGCTTATCAGAACACCAGCTATAGTGTATCCCTTCAAGTTAGAGTTCTTTGAATCATCAGTACTAATCACTCCATTTTCTTTGCACACCTAATCATGAGCACGTCCTATTAATGCTACACAAATGCATCAACTCCTTCCATTCCATCCTCTGTGCCATTTTGTTCTGAATTCTTCTGTGTTTATTTCTTGTGCCTCATTGTCATGTGTTAGGTTGTGATTGTCTCTTGGGCGTTGATCTTTTCTGCTATCTTAGGGGGAAATGACCATATCTTATTTTTCGTAAATTCATTTCTTTGTACTGAGTCCTGATCGGAGGATAGGTGCCCATTAAATATACCTGCATTGTAGTGTGACTCTCACAACTCTGAACAGCAGAGCTGGCTGGGCAAGAACTAAGGATGGTTGGCAGGCAGATAGGGAGGTAGCAAGTTGACCCAGGTATCTTTGGGAATAAATACAGATTAGAGCAGGGCTATCATCACCCAGCTCTGTGGTTTAGGTCTGCAGACTAAGTAAAGTAACCCCATATGAGATTCTCTGCAGTAGGTGCCGAAAGTTGCTTGTACTTGCTATGGAATTTGATTTTACTTCAGCTATCTTTCCACCATAGGTACTTTTCCCTCCAAGCCACACATCCTCTTGGATTTGATGATGTTGTACGATTAGAAATCGAATCCAATATCTGCAGGGAAGGGGGGCCACTCCCTAACTGTTTCACAACACCATTACGTCAGGCCTGGACCACCATGGAGAAGGTAACTAAGAGCTTGAAAAAGTATTGAACTATAAGAAATTTTATTTGTAGAACTCAGAAAATGTAAGAGGAGAAAACCCAAACATCAAGAACCACGGAAGTTGAAGTGGTATAGCATCGAGCAGAGGCTTTATGTCTGGCTCGGTCTGTCTAGTCGTGCAACCAGATAATGTATCAGTGCAGACCGCATATAAAATAGCTGTCCCATAAGCTTGTAATGGAGCTGAAACATTCCTGTTGCCTCGTATTATTTTATTTTAGTAGGTTTAGGAGATGTATGTTAAATTCTTTTACATGTATATATTGTATAATGGTGGCCTAGTATTTACTGTGCTTTTAATTGTTATGTTAGAGTGTTCCTTCTACTTAAAAAAAACAAGTTAAGGGTCAGGAGGATCATTTGAGGGCAGGAGTTCAAGAGTGAGACCCTGTCACTGCTAAAAATAGAAAAATCTAGCCAGGTTTTGTGGCAGGTGTGTGTAGTTCCAGCTACTTGGGAAACTGGGGCAAGAGAATCACTTGAACTCAGGAGCTTGAGGTTGCTGTAAGAACTCCACTGCACCCTAGCTGGGACCATAGAGTGAGACTGTCTCAAAAATTCCCCCAAAACATCAAGTTAGTGTAAAACAGTCTCAGGTAGGTTCTTCAGGAGGTTATCCAAAAGAAAGCATTGCTCATAAGAGATGACAGCTCCATGTGTGTTATTTACTGCTCCTGAAGACCCTCTAGTGCAGCAGTTCTCAACCTGTGGGTCATAACCCACAGGAACTGTATTAAAGGGCCATGGCATTAGGAAGGTTGGGAACCACTGCTCTACTGGGACAAGATGTGGAAGTAGAAGATGCTGGTATCAGTGATTCTGACCCTGTGTAGGCTAATGTGTATGTGGGTGTGTCTTAGTTTTTAATAAAAAAAATTAAAAGTAGAAAAGGTTATAAAATAAGGATATAAAGGAAGTATTTTTGTTTATTTGTACAATGTTTTTGTGTTTTTTGAGCTAAGAGTTATGACAGAAGTCTAAAAATTCAAAAAAAAAAAGCTTATAAATAGTAAGTAAAATTAGTTTATTACTTAGGAAAGAAAAAAAATTTTTTTTTTGCAGTTTTTGGCCGGGGCTGGGTTTGAACCTGCCACCTCTGGCACATAGGGCCAGTGCTCTATTCCTTTTAGCCACAGGTGCTGCCCAAGAAAAATATTTTTTAATGAATCTAGTGTGGCCTTAATGTACAGTGTTTGTAATGTCATAGAGTTATCCAAGTATTTTTTTCTCTGCTGCACATTGGAAGAGTAAGAGTTGTCTTCTACACATTAAATATACTAACTAAAGCTGATTCACAATTATCTGTGCATACTTTCCATGATGTCCGACAGCACAGATGAGCGAAAAAAGTCCTCATAAAATCAGCAGGTGGCCCTCAAGCTGCAGGTTGGATACCCTTGACTCTATAGCAGTGGTTCTCAACCTTCCTAATGCCACGATGTATTTTCATTGTTACAAAGGGGTCGTGACCCACAGGTTGAGAATCACTGCTCTATAATAATAGAAGGCCCATTTGGGGCCTTCATATTTTCTCATTACTCACTTACTGTCTCACCCAAAGCTACTTCTAGCCCAGCAAGCTCCATTTATGGTTCAGGTATTACCTTTTTTTTAAACAGAGTCTTGCTCTTTTGCTCAGACTATCTGGATTACAGTGGCACAATCCTAGCTCACTCTAACCTCAAATTCCTAGGCTCAAGCAATCCTGCCGTCTCAGATTCCTGGGTAGCTAGGAATTCATGTGTGCCACCATGCCCAGCTAATTTTTTTTTTTTTCTTTTTGTAGTTTTTGGCCGGGGCCTAGTTGAACCTGCCACCTCTGGTATATGGCTGGCACCCTACTCCTTTGAGCCACAGGTCCTGCCCACCCAGCTAATTTTTTTTTTTGGTAGAGTCACAGTGTTGCTCAGGCTGGGCTCAAGTGATCCTCCTGCCTTAGCCTCCCAAAGTTCTGGGATTATAAGTGTGAGCCACTGTGCCCAGTCCATTTAAAAAATCTTTTATACTGTATTTTTACTTTCCCTTTTCTAGGCTTAGATATGTTTAGATAGATACACAACTACTTAAACATTGTGTTAGAGTTGCCTCCAGCATTCAGTAATATGCTGTACAACTTTTGTAGGCTAGGAACATAGGCTATACAGTATAGCCTTGGAGTGTAGTAAGCTATACCATCTAGATTTGTGTAAGTACACTCTATCATGTTAACATGGTTACAAAATCATTTAACAGTCCATTTCTTACAGGGGAAGGGAGGGGGGAGGATGTGTGGAGGGAGGGTGATTGGTGGGATCACGCCTATGGTACATCTTATGATAGTACATGTGAATCTTTCGAAATGAAGAATATGGGTGGTGTCTCTGGCTCAGTGAGTAGGGTGTCAACCCCATATACCGAGGGTGGTGAGTTCAAACCTAACCCTGGCCAAACTGCAACAACAAAAAATTTTAAAAATTAAAAAAAAAATACATAAATAGAAAAAAAAAGAAATGAAGAATATAAATGTTTTAACACAATAACTAAGAAAATGACATGAAGGCTATGTTAATCTGTTTGATGAAAATATTTCAAATTGTATATAAAAATAGCACACTATACCCCATGACAGTATTAATGTACACAGCTATGATTTAATAAAATAAAATAAAATGGATTACTATGATACAATAAGTCAAAATTTGCACCAAGAAGGATATATATATATGTATACCAAAAAGAATTAGCATAATAAATGTGTAGTACAGGAGAAAAAAAATAAAAGCAACAGTATATTATTAAAAAATCCATTTCTTAGGATGGATCTCCATTGTTAAGTGATGCATCTTCATTTTTATAGGCTGAATGGCTTTGGGTAATTACTGAAATTCTCTAATGCCATTTTTCTTATCTATAAAATGATGATAATATGGGTTTACCTAAAAGTTATTTTGAGGATTAAAGTTAAGTAATTAGGGCGGCGCCTGTGGCTCAGTGAGTAGGGCGCCAGCCTCATATACCGAGGGTGGTGGGTTCAAACCTGGCCCCAGCCAAACTGCAACAAAAAAATAGCCGGGCATTGTGTCGGGCACCTGTAGTACCAGCTACTCGGGAGGCTGAGGCAAGAGAATTGCCTAAACCCCAAAGCTGGAGGTTTCTGTGAGCTGTGATGCCACAGTACTCTACCGAGGGCAACAAAATGGTCTAAAAAAAAAAAAAGGTTAAGTACTTAATATATATAAAGTACTTAACACAATACCTGACACAAAATATAATGTTAGCTGCTATTGTTATTATTAATTACCGTATCTTTTCAGATAATTAGATAGCAATACATGCTAAAGTTAACTTAAGAATAATCCAGGTATTTCACCAGTATCCATCAACAGGGTTGGAGCATGTGTTTCTTTAATCACTTGTAAAGTTATGACTAATGGCTTAATAATGAAGTATTGAAATTTATGAATGACTCTAATGAACTAGAGTAGATTTTACCAAGAATTGCAGTAGCATCATCACAGCTTACTGCAACCTCAAGTTGCTGGGCTCAAGTGATCCTCCTGAGCAGCTGGAGGACGTGTGTCCCGCTACGTCCAGCACAAAGACTTTCATATCTATTACCAACCAGAAAAATCTAGTTTTATATCTACTCTTTGGTCTTTTCTGCTCACTAGGAAATCAAGTCTATGTAATAGTTTCATGAGTAGAAGAAGAGTAGGGGAGAAATACAACAGAATGGTACACGTTGTAATTTTAGTTATAGTGTAAATTGTGTAAAAGGGACAGTATTTGGAGTGTAACAAGAAATAAAACCATTAGTGTTAACTGGTAGAATTGTAGGTAAAATTTGTTTTATTTCAAATAAAGTGTTTAGTTCTGAATTTAACTTCAGAATTTTCCCTCTCTTTCAGGTCTTTTTGCCTGGCTTTCTGTCTAGCAATCTTTACTATAAATATTTGAATGATCTCATCCATTCGGTCCGAGGAGATGAATTTCTGGGAGGGAATATTTCACTGGCTGCTCATGGCTCTGTTGGCCCTCCTGATGAGGCTAATGCAGGAGGTTCTGACAGCTCCACTTCTCAGGTATTGACTGATTCACATCTGCCATTTGAAAGAAAGGGATACAGATCCTTTCAGTGCCAGTAACAAGTCCTGCTTTTAAGTTTTAAGTTGTAGGAACAAAAGAGAAATAAAATTAGCCTACATACTGTATATTCTAATCCAAGTATTCGTGATGATTAATATGCGGTATTGTAAACTATTATGCTGTTTTATCAGGCTATTTATTATTCTGCTTGACACTGCCTGTTTTCCTTTATGAGATTACATTCATAGCCTCTGAAGAGCTCTTTGTGTAATTATTTGAGAAAAAAAAATTTTTTTTAAACTATTGCTGGCATCCTTTAATTACTTTTTTTTGTTTGTTTGTTTGTTTTTGTTTTTTGAGACAGAGTCTCACTATGTTGCCATTGGTAGAGTGCTGTGGTGTCACAATTCACAGCAACCTCAAACTCTTGGACTTGAGCGATTCTTTTGCCTCAGCCTCCCAAGTAGCTAGGACTACAGGAACCCACCACAACACCTGGCTATATTTTTGTTGCAGTTGTCATTGTTGTTTTAGGTGGCTGGGGCCAGGTTTCTACCCATCAGCCTCAGTGCATGTGGCCGGCGCCCTTCCTACTGAGCTATGGATGCTGCTTAATAACTTTCTTGAGCAGCAAAACATTGTGAAATTTAATTTAAAACCCAGTAAAACATTACTTTTGAAAGGAGTCAATTATTCATCATTTTTTAAATCAACTGAGGGTGGACCTGGTTCTCACATGTCTGAACAGAATAATGTATATTTTCTAAAAATTCTTTTTTTTTTAAAGATAATCAGAGCAGAAGCCCATCTTTTTACCATAAAAGAATCTTGGTACTCTATTGACTAATTACATTGACAAAAAACATCATCAATATTAAGAACTAATGCTAACCCATATGCCGCTGCAAACCTAGAGTAGCTATTCATGTTTCTAGTATTGTCCTCTGCCCCTCCCTTTTAAACAAATATCAACACTTTGGGTTGGGGCATTGAGTAGCAGATACTACCTTTCCTTTAAAATCAAACAGGCTCAGTGCCTGTGGCTCAAGTGGCTAAGGCGCCAGCCACATACACCTAAGGTGGCAAGTTCGAATCCAGCCCAGGCCCACCAAAACAACAATGATGGTTGCAACCAAAATAGCCGGGCGTTGTGGCAGG